CTCACACATTTCAGCCGTTGTTCAATTTGTAAAGCTGGAACTGGTGTTTGGCCACCCAAAGCCAAATATCTCAAGCTAGTGTGAGTCACTGTCTCTTACAGCTGGTATTCATTGCCACATTCATAGGCATTGTTACAGCCAGCCTCCTCTCCATATGTGGTCCTTCCTAGCCTTCCTCAGTCAGACACTGTTGTCTTGAGTTTGTTTTTACCTGAACTGGTTATTCACACATACACGTCTAACTAAATTTGCTACATATTAATAAAATGGATTGAATTGTGTCTATTAATATATGGTGCTGAAAATATTAATTGGCTAAGTGGACTGTTAGTTAACTTTATTTTATCTCCAGATAGGAGATGTATATTAACAAAAAGGAGTCATATTTCTAACAGAGACACAGATCATAGAAATGTAAGCAACTTTAACAAGTTAAGCTGTGATATACTGGACTCCAGACCGCAGGAAACTTTATGTTAAAACAGTGAACACGTGGCAGCGGAAACCTGGTCATATTCACAGACATACATCAATAATGTACTTAATTAGGACAGAGGCTAAATGTTTCATGATTCATGTAAATATAAGGTTCTGTGCTCGCATCATATCCTGCTAGATGTTTGGTGCTTGTATCTGAGGTCAGGTTCTATACAAAGCTGTAGTATTACTCCCCCTGCTTCCTCCTTTCCATCTCATCATTCCGCTTGGTCGCCCAAAAGCCTGGGAACTATTCAGGGAGACTTTAAAGTAGAATGGAGACATGTTTGCTTTAGCCTCACAGTCACAGGGACAGCTCAGATTTGTCCATTAATCGCAATTTGCAGTTTATTATTTGTCAAGAATGTGTTAGTCTCCTTTACCTTAAATGATGAGCTCATTTTGAAAGTTTTGTTTTTCAAGTTGCAATTCAAGGAAAAGTTCGAGAGAAATTACATAAATTTACAAACATATTATTTTTAATAAAGAGACGCTAGGATTGTAAAATACTGGAATATCTGTTTGCTTTGTAATGCCAATTTTATGCCAAGGATTATTTAGATTATTTGTTATAATTCTCTGTAACCAAACTTCATTGCCTGGTTTTCTTACAGCTTATAAAGATGAGCCTTTTGTTCTTTAAATGAGCACCATTCTGGTCCTGATGCTGGTTTAAACTAAACACCCACTCCAGCAAAATGGAGAATAATATATCTCAATGTGAGTCCCTCGATGCTCTTTGCTGTGAAGAAAAAAATGTGATTGAATCCGCTGTAGTCCGTCTTGTTCCATTTAATCTCATTTTGCAGATCAAATGCTGTTTCAGACCTTGACTGAATACTTTAAGGCGTGGCTTTTTATGATGGAGGAGGAGGAGATAAGAAACAGGAGCCTAAAAATCCACAAACTGAACACGTACTGTTAAAACATTATTGTGTAAAACATACTGTGGGGTGACTATGCATTGATAATTGGTTAAATCGGGGTGTGGGGTGTGTTCATCCTGGGTTGAATATGTCTCATCTGTCAGTGGGTGTGGGCCCAGGTGGAGCTCAGACAAAGAGGTCGCATTCATTTCCCCCTGAGAAAACTCAGCCATTACCCACTGATGGGGGGATGTCTCATATGACTCCTCCTTCCATGAGCAATCATTGATTTGCCCTTGATCTTCATGTCTACACACACACACACTTGATCCTTGTGCCTGACCTTTCTACTGCCCCCTTTGACCTCTCAACATATCATTTCCTGTTTTTTTTTTATCTGTTTTTTTCCTCTTTTCCTGTCTCCTGATATTTGACCTCCCCTTATTTCCTCTGATTTCATCCCATGTCTTTCTTACTGTCTTTTCTCCCAGTGTTTTGCTTTGGTTTTTGCCCCTTTCAGTCTTGTCTAAGTGCTCAGGGCTGCAGAATAATCCTCTCTGTGATTTCTCACTCTTTTATCTTGGCTTTGGCAATGTCTGCTTTATCCACCATGACTCCCCAATTCCAGGAAAACTCAAGCGCACCATCTCCTGACCTACATGCATCAGCCTGTGAAAAAGAAAATAATATATGATTTTTAAAAGTAATTTTCTGTAATTTTTTAAGCTTTCGCTGCTGTTGCCGCTGTTGGTTTGACAAAAGCTATCCACCTAGTAAGAATTTTTTGGCATAGTTACTCTAATGTTTATCCTTTTTGTCAAGAGTGTATTATTGTTGAATGAGGTAAGGTCACAACAGGCTGATTCTTGCTAAACTTGTTAAATATTAATGTGTGTTTATTGCTTGTGTTTACAACCCAAACATGTGATGAAGCCACAGAAAGTAGTATAGTGTCTTAAAAGTGTTTTGATTGCATACAGCTGCATAAAGGTTATTGTTCTCTCATTCACAGAAACGTTCATGTAAATGACCAGCTGAAACTGCTCGAATCATTAATTTTACACTAATATACAATTATTGTACATAAAAGGTGTGACTCATTATGACAGAAAAAAGACAATTTATTGGAGTAAAATACTCCACGCTGACGTGGAGTATTTTACAGTCATTTCCAGCCAATAGAGATGGCTGTTGGTACATGGTAAGAGGCAAGCATGCAGCTAGTTACAGTCTTAGTGACTGATTATATATCATCTGCCTGACAAACATGAGGATACTGCAGGTTAAAATGGGAGGAGCTGAAAAAGTAGCCACACCCTAAATAAAGCCTTTACTGTGTCTTTTTCTTTACATGGGACCAGACTGGGACATGACTGTATGCATATGATATTGATTGTGCATATGATCTTTATGAGGGAGTGTTTGTGTGGTGACAGAGGAAGCTGCCTCTGCAAAGAGCCGTGCAGTCAACACATTGCACGTGTTCCGCTCAGGCCTGATACACTAGAGGGGATCATATTAAATAACAAAGGGACAAATCTATATTTGTTTTTATTATGTGACAAATGGTTAACAGTTATAAAGAGTAAATGTATAATAAAGAGTATCATTTTTATTATGATCACATCTTTATTATCAGATACAACATATTTATAGATGAATTTTATTTTAAATGATCAAGGCATGTTAGATGTACAAATGTTACATTTTATTTATTAATGAAAACAGATGATTCTAATAAACATATAGACATGAGTTAGTAATAGCATATAAACTAGTTGTTTTTGTCTTGCAGGTGCTCGAGTCTCTGGGGATCATGATTTACAAAGCTCTGGACTACGGGCTGAAGGAGAATGAGGAAAGGGAGCTGAGTCCTCCTCTAGAGCAGCTCATTGATCTCATGACTAACATGGCTGAGGCTGAGAGGGAAGCATGCCTTGACGAAGGCTACGAGGCCACAGAGGAAGAGGACGAGGTGGAGGACTCTGATAACGTCTCTGGCATTCGTGGCTACAGAGATATATTCAATGTAAGCAGCTGGTGGACGCTAATATGTATGTTCAGCCACTGATGGCTGGTGGTTAAAAAGGATACTGCCAAGAGATAAAGTAATTTTAGTTAATAAGTGTTAAGTATGTAAAAGTAATCCCCTCAAAAGCAGAGGCAGTATGCTCTGCATACTGATGTAAAACAGCTTTTTCAAATAGTGGACAAAGTGGTCACCCATGAAAACATTAATCCTATAGGGCAGAATGGAGGTGCAGTAGTTAGTGCTGGGTAAGAGCCTGAGGGTCCACCAATCAGCTGTTATTGTTATTGTATCTTTATTTCACACATATACAGTAAAAAACAATATATACAAGTACACATACTTGCATTTACATGTACAAATATGAATATATATGTAAATACACACACGTATGTGCTCAGACAAAAAAAAAAAAAAAAAATAAAATAAAATAGAGTCTAAATGACATGAAATTACAATTAAGTCTGAAATGAAGTAGGAAGAAGTATAACATACTTATTAGTCACTACCCCGTGCTCAACATTCTATTGAATTCAACTATTCGTTGTTACCCCTAATTCCCATCATCACCACACAATAAACAAGGAATGAAGGACATGTATTAGCTACAGTGATAGATACAATTTAGCATAGTTACAAATACAATGGGTGATCAACTTTATCAGTTTCATATTCTTCCAAAAGCAGTTTTCGAAACATCTTTATGAACTGACTAATGCTTGAACATTGCTGTAGGACCACAGGAAAACTGTTCTACAGTTTTACCCCAAAATTGGTAATACAAAAGGTTTTAACCTTTGTCCGTGCTTTAAGAGTCCTCAGATTTAATTTTCCCCTCAATTCATAGTCCCCCCCTCTGTCAAAAAACATCCTCTGTACATTTCCTGGTAACATATTATGTCTGGCTTTGTACATAATTTTTGCAGTTTGATATTTTACAAGATCCATAAACTTCAAGAAAATAATGTTAGTGTGATCTCTACATCCTGCTTTAGTAATGATCCTGATTGCTTTTTTCTGAATTTTACATAATGGTTGAAGTGAAGTTTTGTATGTATTTCTCCAGATTTCCACACAGTATTCCAAATATGGCAGTATAAGTGTACAGTAAAGTACCTGGAGTGACTTGGAAGGCAAAAAATGTTTGGCTACTCAGTTCCGCTGTTTATTTGGTTTTTTTTGTTTGTTTGTTTGTTTTTGCTCATAAGCAGAGAGTGCTTGCTAGCGCTGTCCTTAGACAGTAAACGTGACAAAACTATTGAGGAAAAAACGCGGCGTATATATTGTTTATCATAACTCTGGTTTTACGTGGCCTATCAACACAATTTAAAAACTGGTATATATAACCTTGTTGCTTTGTCTTTAAGTGGTCATGTGATTGGCTTACCACGACTACTTTATTCTTCCTCAGTCAAACAGCAGCACTTTTTTTGCCCCCTTAGCTCCAGGTGTTGTGCTAGACAGTGATCGTGATTACCGCCGCAGGAGCGCGGTAGCGTCCAGATTACTTAGTAGTCAGCTACTTCCGTGCAACTGATATAAGATGTGGTAAGCTAAACACAGCTTCAAGCGTCTGTTTGTTGAAAAATAGTAATGGACCGCATTTTCTTGTTAGTAACTGTAACGGCGTTGTAACGATAGGAATAGTAATTAGTTAGATTACTCGTTACTGAAAAAGTAACGCTGTTATTCCCATCACTGTCAGTCACATATAAAAAAAATTTTGATCAAGGATTCCTGCAACAGCTGGGAGAAAACAGAATTTAATGATTCCAGTAATGGAAGACGTAGGCGATGTAATTCCTACTTAGAGCAGGTAATCACTCGTTTGCAAGTGAAAATCCATAATTCCAAATCTAAGGAAAGTGAAATAAAATAGTAATCTCTCCAAACAGACATGAGTGGTGTAAGTGTTTGGAACTATACACATTTATAAAACATTTTCTCTACTATGTGTGAAGCTAAAACGGTTCTCCAGTTCTTGAGGAAAACATCATCTACCAAGGTATTCCAGGAACAAGTTGCAAACAGGAGGCCCAACAAGAGGGCAAGTGTTTAGGAAAAAGTCTGTGTGGAAAAATTAAACTATTAAATATTCAACATATTAAACTCAGCAGTGAAAGCAGAGCTCAGGACCACAGTGCACTCGGGCTGCCAGGCTCATCTTTGCTGGGAGGCATGCATCTCTGTTGTCCAATGGAGCAGAGTCACTGTGTCAGTCCTCGCATCCCTGTGCACTGTTTACGTAATAACTATGTACCCAGTCACACACACAAGTGCACACATGCACACCAACACTGCTCTCCAAGGAGATGCATGGGAGCGGTGTGGCAGTCTGGCCTGTGGCTTTCTAGCTGTCAGTTTGAATTGTTGCTTTTTCCCCCTGAGACCATTCCCCCCCTGTGCTCCTTGGTTTACCTTTTGTCCTACTGTACTAACCCCGATGACACTATTTTAGATTAGAGCCATATTTATCCACTCAATGGAACTGTTTTGATTTTGTATTAAAGAAAATGAATTTTATGTACACTTAACTGAACCCATTATTTTCTGTTACTCCCACACTTATTGGCAGGTTAAAGTTTCTAAAATGAGACAGTTGTCTGGTGTTTTCCATGTTTAGTGAAATTTTTGCAGTCTGGACAAACGGATGCCAAGAGCATGCAGAGTGTTGGCCAAAGGTACCTTCTGTTCCTCTGAGAGAAACAAGGGCATATTTTGTCATCGCTGTGTGTGTGTTTGTGGAGCAGCAGTGTGGCTGACCTCAGGCAGAGCTGTCTTGTGAATTGTGTTCATCAGTCAATAACAGCTGTTTACAAGTGTCTTTTGGTTGGTATTTTGCTTTTATATAATGCCACTGAGATCCATTAGCTAAGTGCTAGCTTGATACGACTATCTATACTTCATTTAAAGCCTAAACGCGTGCTGTTGTTGTAGCCATGAAACCAGCAATCAAAATAGTCAAATTAATTATTGTCATTGTCATGCCAGCTTTTGTTAGATTGCTATACTTTAAATTATCTGATCTAATACAATGCTTTGCAAAATAATAGCTTGTTATTGTCTTAGCACAAAATCAATCAATTAATAAAGTCATAAATGACCTGAAAACCTGATCAGGCGTTCATATAAACAATCAAATCACAAAGAAAATCTTGAAACTTAATGAAGTGAATGTAAGAGTGTGAAATTTAGAAATGAATTGTGTGTCACCGTAAATGTATTGTTGATTGTTGTTTTTGATTTTCTTTCAGTGCAGCTGTGTGAAGTGTGAACTGAAAATCCTTTTGCTTCCTCTGTTTTAGCTGTGCACAGCTCATCTACCCAGTGTGTCAGATGCACCCAGTCATTACCAGGCAGTGTGCCGAGCCCTGTACACAGAAACCAGAGAGCTGCGCACTTTCTTGGAGAAGATCAAGAGTGCCAAAGAGGTAGGGTCCTATGATAAACAGATCAGGCATAACATTATGGCTATCTGCCTAATATTGTGTGAGTCCTTTTGCTGTCAAAACAGCCCTGACCCATCGAGTTTTGCTGTGGTATCTGCACCAAGATGTTAGCAACAGATTCTTTAACTCCTGCAAGTTGCAAGGTGGGACTTGTTTGTCCAGCACATCCCACACATGCTCAATTGGATTGAGATTTTGGAATTTGGAGGCCAAGATTTCAAATATCTCAACATCTCAAACGTGTGGTTGTGTTCCTCAAACCATTTCTGAACCATTACTGCTTTGTGTTAGGGCACATTATCCTGCTGAGAGAGGCCACAGCCATAAGGGAGTATTGTATTGTAAGCATCACACTTCCTCTGCCGGCTTCCTTTCTTTCCATTGGTGCCAGGTGTTCCCCAGGTTAGCCACAGCCATGCACCCGGACAGCCATGTGATGCAAAGGAAAACGTGATTCATCAGACCAAACCACCTTCTTTGATTTCTCCGTGGTCCAGTTCTGATGCTCTCGCGCCCATTGTTGATGCTTTTGCTGGTGTACAGGGGTCAGCATGGGCACCCTGGCTGTTCTGCAGCTATGCAGCCTCATACACAACCAACTGTGATGAACTGTGTATTCTGACACCTTTCTATCAGAATGGATGACATTTTTTGGCAATTTGAGCCACAACTCTGTTGGATCAGAACACATTGGCAAGCCCTGTCTCCCCACGTGAATCACACTGCCTCTGCCGCCAATGACCCTGTTGCTGGTTCACCGCTTGGACCACTTTTGGTAGATGCTGACCACTGCAGACCGGGAACACGCCACAAAGAGCTGCAGTTCTGGAGATGTTCTGACTCAGTGGTCTGTGAGGAAGAGATGATCAGTATTATTCACTTCACCTGTCAGCGCTCATAATGTTATGCTTGATCAGTGTATGTTTTTATATTGCTAACACACATAGGATTTACAGTATTATAGTAAAAAGCTATGTTTACATTAATTGCAGCCAAAAATACTTAGTGTAGTATTACTTAATCAAAGAGTTCTCAAATATCTTGCAAGGATACCTTCATAATTGACTTAACTGGATCTGTTACAGCCTAATTGATGATGATGGACTGGCTCACAGATTTCTTCATGCTCGGAAGCTAGCTGTCTGCCTAAGATGACTGATGTCATGACAAATTGTGCTGTGTCCAAATGAAACAAGAATTTCCATTAGCCAAAAGTCAGAAAGGCAATAAAAGACAAAACGGAGGAAAATCTGCATAACTTAAAATTTTAATGATGGATAATAACGTTATGACTCACAGCTAATTATTTAGCTGACCTCTTGGCTAGCCCTGAGAACAACTAACTAACTATTGACAGAGAAGACAATTTTTATGTAACGACCATAAATCTTATCTTAAGTATCAAAGATTCTTATAAACCACCTTAATGGTTTTTAGTTATATCACCATCACTAGGCTGGACTGTAGCTTACAATACACATGAATGTGACTCACAAAGACAGTATGTGTGTGAAAGCCCTGTTTACTGTGTGACAGCGCAGAAGGCAGTCAGCTGATGCAGAAAGGCATCTGTGGGAATGGCTGGGGAAAGAGCGAATGAATTAATATACATGCGTGCTCAACCTACATTACTCATACTGTGATATAACCACAAATGATTCTGACTCACAGCTTTAAAAATGAAGATTTTATTGTCTTCATTTTATGGGCCTCTCATTAATTCTAATATACATGAATACATGGAATAGAGGAATGAGAACAGAAATAAAACTACTGATTTCCTTATACAAGAACAAGCTATGAGGTTACAAAATAGCAACAAATTTATGGTGACGGTGATGATTAAGAGCAAAACACTTGCAGTAGCAATTCTGATATAAACTGATAAGGCAAGGGTGCTGTGTGCGGGTGACATGCCATGTACTGACACCCTCCCAGCTGACAGGTTGAAGTGAGCCACCATGAAAAAAATAGTGACATGTTTGTCGTGCATGTCAGACATAGATGACTAAATCTGCAGACATGCTGACTCTCAGTCTTCCAAGAGCGCTGAGTTCAGGTTCTCATAGCTAGCCTTCAGCCTGGCATGATCATGAAAACAGTCCTATTGTAGTGGCTGGAAGGTTTGCACCATAATATTTTAACAAGTTGTTCTCATACCACCGAGGATTAATTCTCTCCACAGCATTTTGTTGGTGTAATGCCTGTTGTAGGCAGGGATCCTGGCAGGTGATTTCTAATAATGTTCCCTAGAGATCGGTGATTAGCAGGTTTGCACAGACACAATGCAGATCTTTCTAAATCTTTCAAAAGAAAAGTCTTTGAGAGCAAATGTAATGGCAGTTGACAACGTTATTCTTTTACCAAAGATGTCTTAGTGACTCATTTTTTTTATTTCAAGTCATGTCTCGTTGCTCTGTTTTTATTTTATTTTTCTACCCAGCCATTAAGATCGCAGGCAGGAGTCATTGTGGACTTTGTTTTCCTTGGGAGCATTTTGGAGCTCAGCTGTGGGTTGGAACAGTTTCCTTAAGGAGCAGTGTGTATGTGTTTGTACGTCTCACCTCAGGGTTCCTTCCTGCTATGCACTACTGCTGCTGCCCTTTCACTGCGTGTAATGCATCTGAATGAATACAGGGGAGGATTAGGTCAGTTACGCAACTCTTAGGAAAGGAGAGTTTTATTGCAGAGTGGAACGGGCTAAGACAGAAACTTAAATTTGAGGAAAGTTGGGGGTTGCAGTAATTGTAAACTGAAGTCGTTACCATCGCTGTGTTTGTCATTTGTTAAAACTCAATAGCATACAGACGTATTTCTTGTACTCAGTTTTTTTTAAGTGCCAAACGAACTAGAGTCCATTGTATAGTTTTGCAATGGTTCTTGTACCACATAAAATTTTGTACCATTTATACTATAATAGAAACAGGACTCATGTGTGGAACCTATAATGCTAATGCTAACAACTGACCTTTCCATCAGCCTCAGCTCTACTTTTTGTTTTGTGCTAATTAACGAGTTTACTAATGCTAACACATATTTAAAATAGTTAAAACTATGAATAATATACCTGTTAAACATCACCTTAGCATTGTCATTGTGACCACCTATGCCATTCTTCTCATGCAATGTCAAAAGACCTTAGCATGCTAAAGTGCTAAAGCAAGATGGTAAACATAACATGCTAAACATCAAAACGTCACCACAAATAAATGTAAAAAGTTAACACGGTAAACAGATTTTATTAACAGTTATTTACCATAAGTATGATTAACAATTCCAGTAGCAGTTATATTTTCAAACCCCATATATGTGTGAGAGGCACTAGCAAGTGAAAATCTGCGAGCCACTTCAAGGTACACTCCTGTACGGAAGAGTAGAGCTGCCACCCAGGCAAAAGAAAAATACAAGTGTATCACGTTATAACGTGAAAAGTTTATTGTTCTAACAAGATACTTTTCCTGTTTGTACAATATACTATCATGTTTGTACAATATACTTTTCACATTTGAACAACATAATATCACGTTATTACAATATACATAATTATCACGTTCGTACAATATAATATTTATATTGTACGAACGTGATAATTATATTGTACGAACGTGATAATTATGTATATTGTAATAACGTGATATTATGTTGTTCAAACGTGAAAGGTATATTGTACAAACATGATAGTATATTGTACAAACATGATAGTATATTGTACAAACAGGAAAAGTATCTTGTTAGAACAATAAACTTTTCACGTTATAACGTGATACACTTGTATTTTTCTTTTGCCTGGGTGGCAGCTCTACTCTTCCGTACTCCTGTCTAATAGCCATTATACTGTTTTTTGCTAAGACATTCCTTACTAGTGTCCTTTGAGGCAAGAAAAATAGAATAGGATAGCCAACTGTGCAGGAATACAATCTAGACTATTCAGCAAATGCAACAGAAGAAGTCAATAAGGGGCAGATTTAATAATATGTTGCATTAAAAAAAAAATACTATCAGTACTTACAAAGAGAGCACAGTGACAAGTTTGCATGTAAAAGCTGGGAACTCACAGATTTTTGTGCTGAACCTGTTGCAAATGTTTTTTTCAGAATTTTCTTTCTTAAGGCAAAAATGATGGATACATTTGCAGTATGCACTTTACTGTTTATTGCTCAAATTCTTTAGCACCAAAACAAAAGCATGTCTTATTTTGTTTGTGCTTGATGGTGAAATTAACTGTGATTAAGTAAAAATTATGTTATTTTATCTATTTTTGCACGTTAAAGAAATTTGGCCCTAAGAATTAATAGTAAGCTGATATAAGAAGCAGCAGCATAAAATGAGCGGCATCTGCCATTTCCCCTAATGGCATATAGATTCATCCCTATTTAATCTAAACACATCAATCAGCGATTAGTCCGTGTACAGATTCATATACCTGCTACCTAACTGTAGACTCTCAGTAATTATTCTGTAAAGAACCAAATGTGCCTAAATTCCTTTCAAACCCATTGTCCTGTTTGTGTGTTTTGGTGTTCTTTGTTAAACACATTTCAAAAAGTTCATCTTCATCCAACCACTGCTACCAGACATCGCTGCCAAATAAAGCCCCTTTATCTTTCCACAGAGATGCCTCCTGCAGCTGAACAGCAGCTGAATTAGTGGTGATTCACAGACAACTTGTGCTCCTATTTGCTCAGGGTTACGTGCTTCTTGTCAGCTGTTAAGAGAGAAAATTAATGAATAATATCAACAGAAGGCAGAATTACTAAGGTTTTACATGCAGTTGGCAAATGCCCTGAATATTTTATTTTGTGGCCCCTTTAGCAGCAAAAAGGTTTCATTCACATTGTGGATTACTTTTCATGATTTAATTAATGCAGAACACGTGGAAGAAGCTGCTCAAGTGGAATGGAAAATATGTTGCTTTGATCTGATCTGGAGTTTTGCTGTCCATCCAAATGAGATAATGGTGTTTTACAGCGGTTGAACTAAGCTGTTGTTATGCTCTTCACTGGCTAGATAAACAGTGCTTTATTTTGATGGGCTGTCATAAAGCATCAGGGACCATCTTGTTATCTTTTGACTGGAGTACTGTATGCACTGTAGACATATTGACTTGTGATGCACCAAAAAGCCTGTTGCGAGTGATGTTATAAGCAGTCAGTCAACACAGCTGTGCCCCCGTAGGATGATGGTGAATTCTAATTTCCCCTGTGACCTGAGGTTTTAACTCGGCAGTCAGCTGGGCAAACTCCCGTGATTGTCTTACCAAACTTTCCCCTCCGGTGACATGATCAGGACAGCCTCACTGCAAAAATTAACCAGAGGAAACACATTTTCAGTCTGTCTACTGCTTTTTACAAGCTTGTTATGGTCTCATCCTGTTAATATAAAAGTTAAAGGGGAACATTAAAGGGGACTTGCTTCCATACTTCATACTTCTTGTCATAATGTCTCAAATTATTAAATTATTAAATTATAATGTCTTAAATTATTACTTTTTCCAATAATAATACTAATAAAGATATGCATTAAGCTTACAGTTCTTACAGCTTGAGTTTCTGCAAAACTTTCCAGTAAGAAAACTATGATTTTACAGAGGGGGATCTTTAAAAGTCTGGAACTAATAGTGAGTGTTTGAAGCCAGAGACTAACATCAGGAACTGCATAACAGGCAGCATGAGAGAAATAAAGATTTGTGTAGCTGTGAATTCAAAGCTATTTGAGTGAAGCCACTTAACAGCTTACATAGAGGAACTGGATGAGGTCCATGTCTTGTTATTTACCAAAACAGCACTTTTTATATTTGATCTTGTTCTTTTTCACCAGAACCTCCGTAAGATGGAGGAGGAGTCATCAGAGGAGCCTGGCCGAGACCTGAACGAGTTACAGAATGCTGACTGGGTATGCAATGTTCAACCTTTGACTGTAGCCTCAAATGTTCACGTGAAGATATCTCCATGAATTCATATATCACGGTAAACACACAGTAATCAAAGAACTTCTCAGGAACCATGCTGAGATTGATATGGCCACTGCACATGATGATGGCGCCCTGTTTCCCTGTTCTGTGTGCAAGCAGAGGCTAGCCTCTCTTTTCTACACTGGGTTCCTCTTTCACTACTTCTTCTCCTCTCAGGCTCGATTCTGGGTTCAAGTGATGAGGGACCTGCGTGAAGGAGTCAAGCTGAAGAAGGTGCAGGAGCGTCAGTACAACCCTCTGCCTATTGAGTACCAGCTCACTCCCTATGAGATGCTCATGGATGACATCAGGTCCAAACGCTACAAACTGCGTAAAGTCATGGTCAGTGTCAAAACACGTGTTGCAGCTTTGAAAATATTACTCGAATGCTGCACTCAGTGCTGCACTGTTGTTTTGATCAAGCAGGAAAAAGCTTGCTTCATGAAAATCATAAGGTTGCATTGATTATTATTGGATACAGTATAACTGTGCCTTTCACTAATGTGATGAAATGATGACTGCATACACTCAGAAAATGTTATGTTACATGCTCTGTTACATTTAATGGCATCTAGTCAATGGAAATTTCACTTGATTGTTTTAGATTCTTTTTATACCAAACATATTTTCCTTAATGATTTAAATAAATAAACCTTTGACTTTATATATTTCAGCTGCATTTTACTCAAAAATTATGGCTTCATGTTTATGAGGGCAAAGAATCACATTTTTTAGTGTACTATTGAATTTTGTTTTTAGTCTTTTAAGGCTTCAGTGTGATACCTGAAGTTTTTGTGTAAGTCCACATCTAGAAAAAACACCACCACAGTTCAAATCATTTAATGAAATGCTCCAGAAAACGATACCATAACGGGTTGCTTTGGTGTAAACTTGCATATGCATGACTTTACTCTTCCATTTGGCATTATTCATAATAAAACTGAAAACTTTAAAAAATATTTTGTAACTATTGTGATCGCTGATTAAAGTCTTTCTATTTAGCAGTGAGGAGTTGCTGCTTTTATATTAGAACCATTATTGAATATTACTAGTTCTTTGACTGTCAGATGACCCAAGCATGATTTAACTTCTTGGGCTCTGAGAACGACACTGGAAAATTTGACAGCCTTGATGATAATTAAAAATAATCATCAATCTCAGCCTTATGTAATGGTCTTGGGTTTGGTTGTCTTGCAACAGAAAATTTAAAAATGTCCATATATACTTTTTTGATATTGTGTTTTTTTATTATTTGAGTTTGGATTATTTAATTTTTCCATCCATCATGTTCTCCATCTAGTAAATGACCTCCTGAAAGAAGCAGCGTTTGTCTGAGCTAATATGAGCAGACCAATTGTTCCTTTGCTTCAGGTCAATGGAGACATCCCACCAAGATTAAAGAAAAGTGCTCATGAAGTCATCCTGGAGTTCATCAGGTCCAGGCCCCCTCTCAATCCTGTGAGTACTAACAAATCTGATTGATTTAAACATTAGAACTGAGATTAAACCAATAATCCCTCTACACATTTGCAAATTAGTAAACACTCTGAAAAAAATAAGGATTTTTAACAAAGACATTTCCTGCTTCTAACCTGATGTTATTTGTGGGAAACACTGTGACTCTCATGTCAGGAGATGGTTTATAGGTTGATTTGCTGTTGCTAAAGCCAAAATCATCCCGATGATTAGACTTGACTATTTCCACTACATGTGATCGACTGTAAATCCAGACTCTGCAAAGCACACAGGTGTTAACGTCTCACTGCAGCCTGAATTTGGAGAAATAATGGATTCTGTGCTGATATCAATCTTGCAGCAGGATTAGCAGGCTGCTTTTTCAGCAGTGCTCTCATCTCTCAGCAATCAGGTGAACAATCAATCAAAGTAGACCCGAAGAGGCGAAGAGAAGCAGGCCTGCGGGCTACAACCCTGTACATTTGTGTCAGTGTTGGTATGTTCCCTTTTTCACTCCGTGCCACCCATCATCATCCCACACTACTTAGGTGTCAGCTCGGAAGCTGAAGCCACAGACTCAGCCTCCTCCCACGCTGCACGAGCGGATCCTGGAAGAGATCAAAGCAGAGCGGAAACTTCGCCCAGTCTCTCCTGACGAGGTCCGCAGAGGAAGGCTGGGTAAGGAGGCGTCCCGCTTCATTGTCCCTGCTCTTGGTATTTTTTAGTCCCGTTGGTGCACACTCACGTGCACACTCCCATACACATGCAACCATACTTCGCTCTAAAATTTCAAGACGTTTTAAGCTGAAGTATGGATCTGATGCCTGCACCTCAGAATCACATAAGAAGTGTGCACTAGCTTCATTACTGTTTCTGTTCTTTTATATGTTCCTACTTTGTGCCTATGCTCTGTGCTATTGTAGCTGCTGCTGCCTAACCGTTCATATTTGTGTTGCAACTAATGCCTATTATTGTTTTATGGCTTATATTGTTTGCAACAGAGTATAAGTCGTATGCCGCAATAATGCTAAGTGTCTGCAACTTCTATTAACACACTGAACCCAGTACTGTGTTGTCTGCAGTGTCTCCCCATTGGCTGACTTATTCAAAAATCCTCTTATCGCTTGTCATGAAAGCAATGAAACCTTTGGGATCTGAAATAAGACAATAAGCATGCCATTTCAATTCTTTTCTCACTAAATACCAACTTTTTGTATATACAGTAGTAAGTCTTGACTTGATGTGCCTCTATCACAAACAATAACTGTCCATGGCGTTTCTCGTTGCAGTAATTCGGCCACTTAGCATGTCTTTCAGTTTTGACGCGTCAGGTAAAGTCTCCCTCGCTGCTTACCTGGCTTTTCATCACTTTCTGTTCCCCGCTTTGTTGTGGCTGCTCATCTGTTCTGTCAGCACGAACAAACACACAGACACAGATACACACTTTTAGTGCATCAATCTGCATATTGTACACACATTTCATGTTGTGCTTCATCGTTTGGTGATTGCCTCCTTTGGAGGTGAAACATGGACCCGTGAGACACTGGTCAGTAGGAGGATGCTGATGAGAGCGAGGTGACATGAGTGGCATGCTGAACTACATCCACAGGCCATGCTTTAAACTTGTAAAGCTGTGCATGGTGTGTTTTACATGCTATTATGTATGCTAGTATAAGCAACATTAACCTTAAAACCAGAGAAATCAAATGAACGTTCAGACCATTTTTTTGCACGTTGAAATCTGAGGCAAAGCTTGAACATGAAAATCTTGAAAACCTTTAAAGATAAAAACCCGAACCTGTCTGAGTATTGGCTAGTTAAAATACAAGGAAAACAAACAATCTGTCCTGTAAAGTCTCATATTTTAGCACACACTGATTCATTTCACATTGCAAAAGACAATTAGTGACAATGTCTGAATGTTATGTTGTTATATTTCTCAAATATTCAAAAAAAAAAAAAGGTCTTCGTGTTCAAACTTTGCCTTAGATTTCAGTGTGCAAAACAAAAGAAAATTTAAAAAAAAATAGAAAATATATGAACAGATCATTTAAAAGAAATCTTGAAAAGTATTTATTGTGTTATCCTACAGACCAACAAAAAACGAGCTTATGTTCAAAACTCACTGCCTTTCATTTGTCATAAAAGGAATCTTTACTTTGTATAATATATGTCTTCGATTGGAAGAGATTACATCGCCTCACAGCCAGACTGAGATATTTAAAGTGTTTAGAGGTGCTAAAAACGAGAAGAATTTTATTCGCAATTTTGCTGTTTTGGGGGGTTTTTTTGCATGTAGCGTTCTGAAGGAAGGATGGTAAAATTACATCACTGCTTTCTATACAAACAACATCTTCTTCTTTTTTTAAAAAAAAATACTGTTGGCTGTTAAAATGATTGCAGCCTTGAGAAAACAGTTTATTCTAGTCAGTCTTCATGTTAAAGGAAACTCCTGTACCTCCTGAAAAATATCCCTGCTGTTGCTTCTTGGGAAAAGTGTCACCTTTTCCAAGCACTTAGTCTGTTAAAGGTTCCTCTATAATGTGAAACTTCAGTAGAAGTGAGCTGCCAGCTATCTAATCAAGGGTTGGCAAGGAACAGCCAAAAGCATACGTGACACCTCAACGTCTCCAAGAATCTAGAGTATGTCGTGTGCAGCAGTGACTTTGCAGAATCGAGCCAGTGCGCAGGTGGACCGGTGCGCAGCCTCATGCTCTGCACAGCATAGTAAAATATATAGTCTAAGATAACGAGCTACAGGCTACCAGCAGTGGAACATGCCCAGGGTTCAAATTTGGACATTTAGTGTTGTGATTGCGATGAGGGAACAGTGCTCAGGTGGACAATTTAGAATAAACCTGTGCTCCACTTTCTCTCCTACTGAAGCCAGTGTCTCTCAAAACAGCTCCCTCATTTGTGTTGTCTGTTGACCTGTGTGTAAAACCTTCCCTGTATAATCACTCATTCCCATATGATGTGACCATATTGATAACTCTGTACTTTGTGGGGATTTTACATTCCCGCTGACAAATTAATGAGTATGGCTAAGGGGAAATAGATTTCATGAGATTAAATGCTGCGATCACAAGTCTCAGTGAGGTATCATGTCCCTGCGCGCAGCGTTGGGCCTTTGTGATAGCTTATTGTTTTAAAGGCAACGTGAGCAGGCGGTGCTGCTTGGTTCTAATTAAATTGTCATTAAAATGTGACATTAAGTATTTTGTTTTAGTTGTGCATTAGTTGAGAAGGTTGATGCCACTCTCTCTGTGCTTTTGTTTAATGCTAGAGTCAGCAGGTGATCAGATTAGCAACAAGGGTGTGACTTGGGTAATTTGATTGGCTCCCTAGGGTCCCCTACAAAAAATTGAAAGGAAAATGTCAAATTAATCGATCCGTAATGGGAGTGATGTTTCAAATTACATAACACTAGAATAAAAACGTAAGACAAACGTTATATTATACATAAATACATATTTAGGTCTAAAAACACTTAATAACAAAATTGTATAACATTACCCTAATTTTTGCTTTAATATCATAGTAATAGTAGTATCATAGTAATACACTGTTTGCATGTTGTTACTGTAGTGTTACTACAATTTTGTAGAAAAGTATATAAGTGGTGATTTTGTGACCTAACAGCATCACTGTTATCAGCACATTATCAGCTTGTAATGGTACAACTTAAAAAAAAAAACAACAACTATTTGCTACTGTGCAAAAGTCTTGAGCCACTCTTTGTTTCTTTATATTTTGCTTTTAAGGATCCAGGCTTTCTTGTATCTTTTAAGTGGTCTTGAGCAGTAGTTCTTCAAACTTTCTGAAGTTTTTCTTAAGCCTCTTAACAAGGATCTGTGAATCATTCAAGTATAAAAAGTGTTTGCAATATAACTTTAAAGACTTTGAAGACTAACGAAGAGGCAAGCCTGAAAATGCAAATGAACAGTGTCTGAAAGGTCACATCCTTAAGAAACAGGGGGAAAATCCATCAAAGACCTGACACAGAGAGTAGCTGTTAAGAAACCATTCTTAAAGAAGGGAAACTGGGAGAAATGGCAGGTAGGTTTGCCAAATTATACAAGGAGTGGACTTAAAATCAGTAGAAATAAGTCTGATGAATGAAACTTGAAAATCTGACATTTTCAGGAGGAGGGACGTAAAACCGCGAGTGTTCATAGTCATCTGTAAAACACGGTGGAGGCTCTGTCATGGTTTTGTGCTGCATTCCAGACAGTTTTTAAAATCTTGTTAAAATTGATGGAATTACAAAGAAAAACACCACTAATTTTTTGATCCACCATCCAATACCAGCTAGAAATTGGCTGACAGCATGACAATGATCCCAAACAAACCAAACTCTCAAATCAGAACTCTTGCATGGTATGCAATGCAAGTGTTTGTTCTATTTACTGCAAAACTACACAGCAGATGTGCTGCCCCCCCCCTGAGCCTGGTTCTGCTGGAGGTCTCTTCCTGTTAAAAGGAAGGTCTTTTACCCCTCTATCTCTGAGTGTCTGCTTGTAGGGGACCAGTCGATCACTGGAGTTCTCTCTCTCTGGAGCCTATCCCATCTACCATAGAGCGAGAGCTGGGCTACACCCTGGTCATGTCGTTGATCTGAAGCACGGCTAAGATGCTTAAACATTAGACATAAAAAAATCAAATGAAACCTTAACTGAACTGAAAGCTGTGGTCTTTATGCTGAACTAAGCTGACCCATCTTGACTTAGCTAGGCAACATGAGAGTGATACTAAACTTCTTCTTCTAACCCACACAAAGACAGATAATATGTTAAAAAACATGTCTATTTTAAATCATTTTATAGACAAAATAAAAACATTTAATATCAGATTTTGCATTAAATACTTTAGAATCAAAATGACTCCTTTGTAGGATCGGTATTTTAACATTGAGCAGTTATACGTTTCGTGATGTAATGCAGACAACAGACCCATTTCCCTGTAGCTGCACACATACACAAAATATCCCAAATTATTCTGTCAAACACGAATCTGTTTACTACTTCAGTCACTCCATTTTATTTGGATATAAACTGCAGGTGTACTGAGTGGTGAATTTACTTGTAGCCATCCTATTAAAGGAGGTCTCCCTTTTAGGTTTCGGCAAAACTCGCAGTATGCCGCAGGATTTATTCCGTACTGGAATAGGTAACGTATGAGCAATGCTGTGGTTTGGAAGGCCATGTTTGCATTTTAACCTAATGGTCTTGTCTGTTTTGTCTGTCCCCTGCCTGCCAGCTTTAAACTAATATCTCCTCTTTTTGAATATGTGAATGCTGAGACTTGGGTGAAACAAAGAAAGGGTTTAGAATGATGGCTGAATAGAGAAAAACTGGTGATGTAGGTTCTTAGGAATCTTTGGTCATAAAAAGACTGGGCAGCAAGAACAGAGCTCGTGTTGAGACGATGAGCTCATGTGGATGCTTTTCCCACAAACAAGAGGCTGAAGGGAGAAAGGAGAGTTTCAGGGTTCCCACCAATCCTATCAGCTGTGTTTTTTTATCTGTCTCTTGCAGCACTCGCTTGTCTGCTTTTCCCATGCTCCCTGCCTCCAAACCCTCTCATCAGGTTGTCTTTTTGCTTTACCCAGAAATTAGTCAGAATCAGGCAGCTTGGTATTGTAGGTGGTTGATTTTAATGTTGTCTTTTCTGTAGACTTTAGCCAGTAAAGAGTGTCTGTTTAGTAAATTGGGAAATTTGGTTTCAAGGACTTAGCTTTCCCTAAAAACGTTCCCTGGGGGTTGATATGAAAGAGAAGCTTTTTTTTTAGGAGTCCACAGTTTAAATATTTCATGAAGAAGGCATCCATGCTCTGCGTGTAACACCGCCCTGCTCCTATGCTTCCCCTTAGGAAAAACTTAACCTTCATCAACCTCTTTAACCTTTCGGCAACTCTCAAAACTCAGTCCTCTGTAACATCATTCATTGCATCCTTTCACCTCACCACCCACTGAAACCCACTACAACTTGAAAGCTCTGTTTCCCCATATAACAAATGGGATAGTAAAAGAAAGATGCAAAGTATAACCTGTTTGGATGCAAAGAATCAAGAGAGGATGTGTTTTGGGTTTCGTTTCAACTGCTGTGCCTGAATGACACTCTCCTGTGTGGCTCTATGCAGATGAGTTCAGCCCACGTATGGGCAGGAGGACATCCAGCTCTCTGTCTCTCACCAACGGATCTGGATCACCCAGAGTCCAACCCTCTGGATCTCAGTCAGTTCCTCAGAGAAAGAGGCTCCTGAAGGCTCCCAGCCTCGCTGAACTGGACAGCTCTGACTCTGAAGTGCGTTTCTGTGTATTTGAATTTTATTTTTCCTAGATGCATTTACTTTGTGCAGAAAAAGTGATGACTGAAGTGCATGTGTATTCTGTGCATTCAGGATGAGATTGTTGGACACAAATCAGCGAGCAGCTCCAGCGTGGCGACATCTCTGATGGATGACACTTCCCCAGAATCTGTGCTGGGGAAGAAAAGTGAGTCAGGAAGCCTTTCGACGCCCCCTGCCTCCTTAACTAAGCTATCTGCTGGCAGTGATCGATGGCTTTTAATCTTGCAGCCTTGCCAGTCATGTTGCCCAAAGTCTTTTCATTTGAAAGATTATTTATAATCAGTAGGTCTTGAGCCAAAGATTAACCAATCAATTGCTTCTTTGCAGTTAAACTTGCTCTTTTTTTCTCTCTCTCTCTCTCTTACGTTCTATCTATGAACACCAGCTCCACCCATGTTCCTGCCCATCTCCTCTACACCTCAACCAGAGAGGCGTAAGACCCCCCAGAGAAGACACTCTATTGAGAAGGAAACACCCACAAATGTCCGACCGTTTCAGCCGCCCTCCAAGCAGAGCTCCAAGTCCCTGGTGAGTCAGAGCTTCGTGTATCATTTAAAAATAAACATTTGGAAATAGGATTCAGTTCAATTCAATTCAGTTTTATTTATATAGCGCCAAATAACAACAACAGTCACCTCAAGGCGCTTTATGTTATAAGTTAAATACACTACAGGGGCAGCCAACTGTCACAACTGATTGGGGGGTTAGGGGAGAAAGACAAGACAAAAGACACACTTTGGAAGAGAGTCAGAACTGGACCAGATTGAAATCAAAAAAATCAAATCTACTAATGCATTAGTTTCAAAGGATATTCCTTCGATTGCTGTTTTGACTTGTTCCACTGGCTGTCAGTGTCCAGTGTGGTCAAATAACTTAATAATCAAAAGAAGCAGAGGGAGAACGAGATAAGTATGTAGAGCATCAAGATCTGTAGGGAAATGAGGAAGGATTGAAACTAAACACACATGCTGTCATCTCTCTTCTGTTTGCCCCTTTCTCAGGATTTCTTCCCTCCTCCTTCTTTTACCAGAACCATCGAGTCCCTGTATCTCTGTTAAATTGCAGGCTTTCTGTTCTTCCTCCCTCCCACACACACACACACACCTCCACCTTCTCTTGCTCAGGTTGGAATCGAAATCTTGCATCACTCCTGGATTCCCTTCCTTCTCCACCCTTCTCCCTCCACTCTGTGCCCTTTGTGGAGCTCCAACCCTATCGAGGTGTTTGTGTTGGGGTTGGTGAAGACACTTTTTGCTCTGTGCAGGAAGGTTTACATCCTTCGAAGAGACTTGGCCGAGGTTTGCCCGTCTCCCATCAGTCTGTCCCGTCATAATAACCGTAGCTGCTCATCCTCCTAATTCTTCACTAGATATCATTCACCTAGAGCAGGCTGAGGACATTGCTTTGGATATCTAACACAGTGGCTCAAGCGTATAGCAACATAGAACTAACAAAGAACTGTCAGAGCGTTTACAGGAAATAACAGGAAAGACGAACATAGGATCAAAGATCTCTTTTTTTCATGTTTCTGAACACTAAAAAGTGAATTTGAAGTTTCCTCTCCTCCTCGTTTCTGGTAACAGAGAGTAATGGGAAGAACCACGGTGCGTTAACTTGTACTTCAGCAGTCAATCAAGGATTTATAATGTACGACTGTTACAAAGGCCCTGAGGATGCCCTGAGTAGCAGACAAACACACCTTGTGGCTACAAACATATACAGCCTCCCCTTACAATAAAACCACAGTCATCTAGGATGTTCCCTTATTTAATATTGCTCTCTTTGTTCCTTGAGTTCCACGTAGACATGGTCAAGACCACATTAGGTGCCCCTCCTATGGGCTAAGAACAGGAAACTGAGGGCCCAATTCACACTGGCTCACCAAGATTGCACAATAGAAGAACAGGTTGGAAAAACGGCGCATGGTCTGACGAGTTTCTGTTTCTGCTGCCACATTCAGACGCTAGCGTCACAATGTCTGTATAAACCAGAATGTATATCCCCCAAACCATTACACCACCTGCTGGTGGTGTAATGGTTTGGGGGATATTTTCTTGGCACACATTTCGCCCCTTAGGACCAACTGAGCATTGTTTTAATGCCACAGCCTGCCTGAGTATTGTTGCTGACCATGTCCATCCCTTATGACCACAGTGTATCATGTTCTGATGGCTGCTTCCAGCTGGATAACAAATATAAAAAGAAATTCTCTTTTTTTAGCCAGTTCTTGAAGACAATCAGTGCACGCTTTGTGAACACTATTTCTCGGCACTGCTGCAGGAAAAAAGTGTTCACTGTTTTTCCCACATCACGATTCTCCTCTGAGCTGCCTTTTCTTTCACTGAACAATGAGGATATTTTTATGACCCAGTTGTAGCCCGGACCCACTCTCAGTGCTCTTAAAGGTGCAGGAGAGTTGTGCATGTGTGTGCTGAATGAAAAACACTGAGTCCTGTGTTTTGAGTCTGCTGGGTCCACTCACTGCTGTGCGTATAATTCTTGTTGTTGCTGCAGGAGGAGTTTTGTTTTCCTGTGGAGTGTCTGTCTCTGACGGTGGAGGAGGTGATGCACATCAGACAGGTGCTGGTGAAGGCAGAGCTGGAGAAGTTCCAGCAGTACAAAGACATCTACAATGCCATGAAGAAGGGGAAGGTAATGCATTTTTTTTATTGCCTAGGTTAATTCTATTATAAAGAAGTAATCTCTCTTTAATAAACAGGGATTACTTACTCTTTCTAAATGAGCACAGTTAAATTATAACACCATAAGTGGGTTAGGGAAACAGTATAACTTTTATCCTGAGAAAAATGTTTTTTTGGTTCCAAATACCTTCTTTATATTTACTGCGATCTCTATATTTCTGTTGCAGCTTTGCTTCTGTTGTCGAGCCAAAAGGTTTTCCTTCTTCACCTGGTCCTACACCTGCCAGTTCTGCAAAAAGTAAACAATTTCAGATGATTATCTTCATCTTTTTCATTAATACTCTTCTGTTTATAATTATTTAAGGATCTATGGCTGCTTTCGTTTATTCCTTCTCCTGTAATTTCTGTCAATCGTCTCTTTGCAGGCCTGTGTGCGCACAGTGCTGCAAAAAGGTAAGGCACGTGGGATAAATAAGTCCTCTTCCGCAGTATCACATCTTCCTTTATCTTTGTGCTGGTGACAATAAAGTGGACCTCTTTAAAATAAATAAGTAAATAGTGTAACATATTTCCTAATGTGGCAAATGGTGGTCACTGATCTTCGGCTAATTACTTCCCAATCAACCAAATTCAAACTGACGACACTCTTCTCTCTTGTTTTGCATCATTACTGTGCTTCCATACGCATTGTGAGGAAGTTTTATCTCTTTCATACATGCCTTCCATCTCTGACAGATGCGGCTGCCATCCAAACCTTATTCCAGCTTGCCCATCTACTCCATTGGCTCCACCAACACTCTCCCCAGGGAGAGAATAAGTGCCATGGCTTCTGTAGGACAAGGACTGTCAGTGGCTGGAGCCCCAGGTCCATCTAAACCAGGAGGGGCTGCTGCATCCCCCGCTTTGAAAGAACCTGCAAAAGGAGCATCTAAAGGTCCCAGAAAAGCTCCTGGGGCAGCGACAACAGCAGCAGCTGCTAAAACTGACAAGTCCTCCAGTAACCCACAGCGCCACAGCATCCAGAAGACTATGTCTAAGTAAGAGCTATGAACAACACTATTCAAACTAGAAATAGCAGTGCAACAATCAAAAGGAGGAGATCATATATGATCTCCTCCTTTTGATTGTGCAGAACATCTCGTGTTCATCATCACAAACTGCAATACTGAAAACACAAACACACAATGCAAAGTAAAGGCCTTATTCATTGTAGCTACTACTGCTTGGTACAGCGTGTCCTCTTCAGTCAGAAGATTTGTTGGGTGTTGCTGACATCTAGTGGATAAAATTGCAACTACCACATCAGAAACTGCTTGGCTGATTGTCAAAATTTACCAAATCATTCAGCGTCCTTATCACAAAAGCAGCAAGAAAATCATGAAGTTTGGATTTAATTTACCTGTATTATCATGCATGACTGAACTTTTCATTAAGTCTTTTCAGGATGAGTTGTTTCATGTGTTTTTTGTTTTTAAACACATTTAATTGATAATCCATGGATTAGGTTAGCTATGAATGCAAATTTTAGATCATTTGAAACCAAAGCTAATTCACATTGCTAATATATCAAAACAATGTTGTGTTTTGCTCCCGTTCAAGCCGAGCTTCTCTGCTGTTTCTGTCTCTGTAGGTTTTCGAAGCACGGCTCTTTAAAGTCTCATGAAGAACTGGAGCTTCCCCCAGAGCTGACGGAGGACTGGGCTACCATGGAGGTCTGTGTGGACTGCAAGAAGTTCATCTGTGACATAATCGCCTCCAGCAAACACAGTCTGTCACTGGCCACCAAGAGGGCTCGCTTAAAACGCAAGACACAATCATTCTACATGTCCTCCCCTAAAGGAAGGGAGGAGTACCATCCCTCTGAACGAACAATCAATGAAATCTGAAACTCTGTATCTCTCCTTCTGGCTGCTTCCAGCTCCAATGGCACAACACTGGATATGATCTTACTGTATTAGTAGACGTGAGTCGGAGAAAGCTGCCTGAATGGCTGTAAGAACCTTAGTGGTGGATAGTGAGGTTTCTGGCTGCTGTGTCCCGATCGTGATCAGCTTCTCTAGACAATACTGTAGATCTGCCAGTCTTTTTTTGTGTTTTTTTTTAATAATATCATTAATATAACAGAAATACCTTTAATGTGTGGACACAGGCATTTGACTCAACAGAGACAAAGTGCAAAGGGGACTGACTTCCTTCCTCCATGATGGTGCCACGGTCTGTTCCACCTAAACTCGCGTTCACATAAAAAGCACAAAACAGAAAAGCGATCGTATTGTAAACTAAGAGTGACGGTCATCAAAAAGAAGATCAAACTGTACATTTTGTATGGGCTATAATTTAGTTTTTTACATGTATGTACAGTAAATAATTACTCGATAAAATGTCACCCTCTGTTTTCAGTTCAGACTTTTGCTGATGATGCTCAGGGAGACTCTCACTCCTCTCTGCTATTGACAGCGCTCTTGAAACCATGCTTCCTTGAGGAATTCAACATAAATTACCCGTTTTATTTTCCTCCAAAGGTTGCTACACAAAGAGAAATATCACCTGCTTTTATGTTGACTATAGTGCCAAATAATAACTCCTTAAATATATATGTCACCTGATGTAGTTATTGATTTATGCAGTGGTCTTGCTAATGGAGGAAGACCACCTCAATCGCTCCAGTCTCTGTTAAAATGAAATATTCATGTAATTAGACAAAGTTCTTTAAAACACTCCTGTCATGCTTTTTCTTTTGCCATCTATATATTGTTGTAATATATTAAACATTGCCACACTTCAAATACTGATACCAGCCTATGTCTAAATAATCTCTCGGAGTCAAAAGCTCATGCAAACGTTGTGTTTGTGAGGGGCAGCCAATCAGAATAAAGTTGATCTGGCTCCATCAAGGCCCAGTATATGATAAACAAGGATTTTAACAAAAATATAGAGATTAAAATAAGCCCAAAATGCCCTCTGAAAAACAAAGAAAAACATTTATCAGTGTTTAATGCTAATAAATATTATAAATGTACTTAATCAGATCTGTGCAGGTGGTTTAGATCAGGGATAAGTGACAGCAGTGTGGTGCTCCAGTTATTTAGTTTTGCCTTTCTCAGAAATATCTTATCAAAGGTGCTTTAGGAGGAAAAAAGGTCAAAACACAGCTGAGGCTATGTTATTGAGATTTCTAGTACCATTATTTGGTAAATGCCTTTTAAAATCTTTTAAACTGCACACCACTTGGTATGCACAGATATCTCTAAGGTGCTTTTTTTTGTTAATTTGTGTGATATAAATAAAGCTGATTTGAACTTTTTCAAAAGACAAGTTATAACATTAATTAATTCTCCAATCAGTCTAAAATTATGATCTCACCAAAATCTATCCGAGTTCACTTTTGTGATGAACCAGTTTTGATCAGTTGTGAAGTTATCCTTGCACCCTGACGAGCGTCGACGCTCGTCAGATAACTTATAAGCAAAAATCTCCAACTATCATTAAATCCCGACTTGGAAATGGAAGCATATGAATGACATCACCTGTTTCTAGGGAGAAGCAAAAGCACAAGCAAAGTATTTTTGATTAAAGGGAATCAAAACATCTAACAAATGTTGAGTTCACCTGCGATCCCCTCACTCCTACTCAGAGGCTGATTGAGGAAAAACACAATTTTAGGACTGTAACAAAAATAATAATAATAATAATTTCAGACATTACTATGACCCAGATGGTTCAGATTTGCCTTTAAGTATTTTACCTGAAATATGTGCATTACAGCATCTTTTCAAAACATACCTTAAACTGATGCAACGCTCTTGCTTTCCCATGAATCACGTTAATGATTTGTTTCTGTATGTTTGCAAAGATGAATCATAATACATAAAATAACAGCACGCTGCCCAGCTTTCAGTCACTCAGAGTTAATGTTAATACAATGCCTTTATGATTTATTTTTTGTCATTCACAGTCTCACTGGCAGAGAGATATAACTTCCTCACAGCCTGGATGTTTATTTTACACTTCATCGCATTCCACGTCTTTTCATATTTTGCCTTAAAAGATGCCTTTTGTTATCGCTCTCATCTGTTGAACAGTCCTCTGCTGTTACTGTACATACATCGTTTCAAAGGGTTTGTTCTAACGTTCAGGTGTGTTGCCTCAAAGATGACAGTGCTGACAATGAGACTGCTGTAGAGCTGAGAGGGAAATTGTCCATCTGTGGAGAACAGGAGGGCTGCGAAGTCTTCAGAAGAAACCTCTCAGTGTGACAGACAGCATCATGCATGTACTACAGTGTAGCTTGTACCTTCAGTCTGTATTACCTTCAAGCTGTAACTCCCTGCAGAGAGTGCAACAAATGACAAGTATAAACAATAAACTGTAATGCAATAGCTGACCACAGCCTCATCATTTATTTATCCTTATCATTTATTTATTCATCTTTTATTTTAAAGTATCCAAAAACATAATGTCTTGTTTTTTCAAGTGTCTCCAAGTGCCTACTAGAGAAGGTAGGAAGTCTTTATTCAGTCCTGGAACATAATTTGATACCCATGAGGGTTACTAAAGAAAATAATTAAATTTATTTTTAACTATAAAACACCAAATCATAAAACAGAACAACAACAACAATAATAATAGTAATAATAATAATAGTAGTAGTAATGGTGTTGTAAATAGACAATCAGAAGAAGGAAATTTTGTATAATTTTGTGTTATGATCTTTTATAATGCCTGATTGACCGGGGGAAAAACAAGTTGTTCCTTTAGATTTTATTTATTATTGAATACATAATTTGAAGTTACATTTATTTCTATATTAATAAATAAATGTAAACAAACGGAGTGTTAAATAGGTCTGTAAATGTTTTACTCTGTCAATAAAGTTACAAGGGGGGGAGTGGCCTTGTTACCATAGTAACATAAAGCCTCAACTTTATCTCCGGCTCTGGTTTCGTGTTAGAAATGGTTACTGGTATTCACAAAGCGAGAAAGAGAGAAGTAAGCCACAGTTTTTGCCTGGTACCCCTGCCATGTTCTTTGTCGTGAAGCGGAAATGTTAGCTAGCGCCGAGCCTAACGTTTAGCCTTCACACACCAGTGCCAATGTCTCCGAGGTTCAAAGAGCTTGTGGTTTATTTCCGCAAGCAAGCTCTTAGACAGCGCCGTGCTAAAAATAACCCATCTTTAAGAGTGTAACTTTGAATCTATCTGTTCATCACTGCATTTTCTACAGGATGTGTTTATCCAGGATTCAGAGTCTGAGACTGGTAGCAGTATTGGAGGACTGTTCACACCAGCTGGAAATACTGGGACATATTCTCACAATGCGGATACGCAGGGAAAGACCTGCACAGGTGACTTCACAGTATTACCACGGGAACATCTGTCAACAGCTGCCTGCTGCTTTGATCTAGCAGTGTTGTGAAAAACTGTATTTTGGGCGTTATTACATTACGTGTGTGTGTGTGTGTGTGTGTGTGTGTGTGTGTGTGGTGCAGGAGAAAGCCAAGCTCAGGAAGTTGACAAGGGATTGGTAAGAAGCACAGAACACACTGAAAACAAACAAATAAACAAAGCCATTATCGAGTATAAAGTTTTATTCTCAATAATTCATCTCACTGCAGTGAATACATCTCACAGCTGATGTCCAAGCTACATTTGGAGCTGGAGGACAAACAGTGTTTTAGCTCTCTGCTGCAGGCTGTGGAGGAAGTCGAGCAGAGGAGAAGGGATACGAATATGAAAAGGTTCTTCTTTGAATGATTTGCCAGTAATTCTGACCTTGGTGGTAAAAAAGAAGGGGGGTGTTCCAAATAGAAGACAAGGAGAAAAAACACATGGAGAAATAATCAGCATCTATAATGTAAGTCGCTCTCCTTTCAGGGAGGAAATGAAACAAGTGGGCAAGAGAAGACAGACTCTTCTGAAACAACAAGAGGAGCTCCAACAGAAAACTCTCAAACTGCAGGTAAGAAACTGACCCATAGGGAACGACTGTCTTCATGAATAGCTGTAAGGGTCGAAAAAATAAGAGTTCAGTAATCCCACTACTTGGTCTCCATCCGGGCCTGTATCTGCAGGTCATACACCATGAAGCAAACAAGAAAGATCATTTGTTAAAGATGAGAATCAAAGAGAACACTAAGGAGAACGACACTGGGCTGCAGCTCAGGAAGATCCAGAGTGAGACCAGTCAGGCTGAGGCACTGCTGGAAGGGCAGCTGGAGGTAGGTCCAAATATAAGACGCTCGGCTCTACATTTTAGATTTAGAAGTCAAATGTTTAATGACTAAATAATCACCTTTATTGGCTCATCCTGTCTCAGCTGCTGAAGAAACAGTTGAAGGAGGAGGTGAGAGTTTACAAGGAGTCTCAGAAATTCCTGCTGAGGCAGCATGAGGTTGGTGAAGTAATACTATATGCAGCATTGTGCAGCTGTGTGGCTTAGAGGCTGTGATTAGTTTAGCTGTACTTCCAAAAGGAGTTTTTTCTTCCCACTTTTGCCAAGTTCGTGCTAATGGACAGTCATGTAGTTGTTGGGGTTTTCTCTGTATTATTGTGGGGTCTTTACCATACTATATAAAGCACCTTCAGGCAACTGTGTTGGGATTTGGTGCTACATAATTAAATTAGCTTCAGAGCAGTTCACTTGAGATCACTCGATATTTAAAAGAAGATTTCCATCTGCTGTAATTTTTTCCCTGGTATTTTATCTGTATCCACGGAGAGCATAAGGAAGTCGCTAGCACAGAACAGGGTAGGCATCGATGACAACAAATATGACATTTGTTATAGATAAAGTCAGAAATACTATCACAGAGAGACGCGGCTGTGGAGGTGGGTTGCAAAGCAGCTTTGAGATGTGCATGAACTGTGTCGAGGCTAAAGCAGCTTGAACAACATGAATTTGCCATGTGATTGGATTCATAAGCCAACAGGAGATTTAACTAAACCAACACTGTGCTGTTTTGTGTGTGTGTGTGTGTGTGTGTGTGTGTAAGAGAGGAATAAGATTCTCAAATCCTTTCAGTTTCTCTGAAACTAAAAAGTTATTTCCTGGTTTGTCGCTTGTATGGATTCATCGTTTCTGTGGTTTGGGCTCATCTTTATCAAGTAGCTGATCTTTTTGTGTTCGTCATTCTCCAGAAGACTGTTTATCTCATTAATTTGATTGCTGATAATATGGTGAACCTAACTTTGCACTGTTGCTGATCAGGAGCTGCAGCAGCTGCTGCATGAGCTCCAGAAGCACACAGAGCAGATGGTGCAGGAGAAGAGCAAGCAGCTCCACAACATGTGCTTCAAAAAGGACCTGAACTTAGACAGGCTGGAGGACATGAAAATGAAGGTCGGCGGCTCACGGTGCTGAACAGATGCAGATGCTAATTAGTTCGTTATTAAGTGAATGTCAATTACTTCCTGATTTCAGTTCAAGGAGATGGAGCAGATGGTGATGGAGGACAGGGAGGAGCAAGAGAAACTGCACCAACAGCAGGCACGGATCAGAGCTGCCACCAAGGTAACAGTATCCAACTGGCGCACAGGCCTCGCCAGCACAGTTCATGCTCTTTAAGTTCGGTTGTTCTCGTATTCAAGAACAACGCTAAGGAATACGAGGGTATTCAGCAGGCAGAATGAACATGGACTGCGGCATATTCATTCCCAACCACAGCAGACGGCTGCCCCTCTCTGAGTCTGGTTCTGCTGGAGGTTTCTTCCTGTTAAAAGGGAGGTTTCCCTTTCCACTGTTGCCAAAGTGCTTGCTCATAGTGGGTCATATGACTGTTGGTTTTTGCTGTATGTATTATTGTATGGTCTACCTTACGATATAAAGCACCTTGAGGTGACTGTTGTTTTGATTTGCCGCTGTATAAATACAACTGAACTGAATCCCTGTTTATGTGCAGCTGCAGGCCTGGTGGAGAGGCTGCATCGTACGCCGAGGACTCTGCGGTTTTAAAAAAGCTAAGAAAGGCAAGAAAGGGAACAAGAAGGAAAGAAAGAAAAAGAAGAAATGACTTTTTGATAGTGCTGCTGAATGTCATTGACATGATGATATGAATAAAAACAAACACTAATGCAGTATGTGAAGTCTTTATTATAAATATAATAGCAGTTACCGTTACAACAGTTAAAACTCATTCATTCATAGTCCTCTTACTCAGTTTTATGTACATATCAAAGTCACAGTTATTTTATATTAAGCAATATCAAATATAGAGACACAAGAAATCAAAATTACCTCTGGCAATAAATACTACTAAATAGTCTACTGTTAATGACCATAGGCCATACATTTTAACCCAAGCCCGTATCATGGCGTGACAGACATAACATAACATTTGGTAAATGTATTTGTATAGCGCTTTACTAGTCCCTAAGGACCCCAAGGCGCTTTACACAACCAGTCATCCACCCATTCACACACTGGTGATGGCAAGCTACATTTTGACAGAGGCGAGGCTGCCGGACACTGGCGCCACCGGGCCCTCTGACCACCACCAGTAGGCAACGAGTGAAGTGTCTTGCCCAAGGACACAACGACCGAGACTGTCCAAGCCGGGGCTCAAACCGGCAACCTTCCGATTACAAGGCGAACTCCCAACTCTTGAGCCACGATTCAATCAAAATGTCCACAAAACAGCTCTTTTTTTGTGTTTTATAATAATGAACTGCCCTTGCCCTGATACTAAGCTGAAGTTATAATCGTGGCTACAGTGTTTCTTGAGTCTGCATGTGTGTGTACATGTGGCACACTTGTGAATCTTCCGTTTTAGTTGGACGGCTGGCTCATATCAACATGCATGCTGTTGTTGTCTCCAATGATGGTGTAGCTGACGTGGGAGCTGTGGATGCTGATACTCGGATGCTCTTCTGATGGAAGAAGTGGTGGCAAAGCAGCATCCTGTGCTGACTCCTGTTTCCCGCCGTAGCAGCTAAACCTCATCTGACCTGTAACACAACTCAAATTAAAAGCTTGCACTTCACATGAGTGCAGTCGGCATAGCGTATTTTAAAGAGATGTTCAGCTGGCCAGGCTTTGCTGTTACACACCTTTCATGTGGCGCTCAGTTTCCTGCATGAGAGGCTGACACTCGACCACTGGACGGGTGCCGTTTCCAATGACGCAGTCAATCAACGTGGAGTTGCTGATGTTGACGATCAGTATTGTTGACGGCGGACTCTGAAGGGCCATTGCTGTGTGAGGGGGAAAGCAGAAGAAAAGGGAAGAGAAAATGAGAAGTTGTTGATCCATAGTGATGTCACAGTTTTAAGTTCCTGAATGTACGGCGAAAGCTGGTTGGAGTTAAAAAACTTCCATCACGCATACAATTAATATGTGTAATGAACCGCAATGCAGTACGCCTCCAGGCTCGTGAAAAATATGTAATGGAAAATATAAAGATGGGGGAAAAGGGGAAGCAAAAGATTTTACCAAAAAAGATTTAAGGAAGCCAACATTTTATTAAACATATAAAGTTAAATGTTACCTTGAATGTTTTTATTCTCCTTGGGCTGATGAGTTTCAGCTGTAAAGGCAATAAGAGAGGGAAGGTTACTTTTTTACTAATGACACATTATCTTTCCAGCTTACATAGACAAACTGAAAGTTCATCATGAATATAATGACAAAACACAAATAAACAGATGTATTCGTGCAATTATAGTTATGTAAAGAATAAATGTAAAATCTACCTCCAGTAAGGTCATTTTTGTTCGGTTTTGTTTTTTTTACCTGAGCAACATGTGACTTTTTCACACATCACAGGGTCAAAAGGCAGGCAGAGCAGCTGACAGGCCCTTATGCAGCTGTTCTGCACCACTCTTTGCACCACTTGGATCACGGTGGCCACGGTGGAGGTTTTAGATGGCATCACCTGGAGGGAGGGGGCACAAAAAAAATACATTAAAAAAATATCAGTATGGATGACATCACGTCTTTTAAAATAAAAACGTGTTTTTCTGCAGAGGCAACTGAGTGGGCGGTTTTTTCGTCTCCAAACCACATCCCACCCGGACAGACCACCTGTGTATTATATCTAGGTCACGTGACTTCTTCCCTACAACAAGTCGATGAGAATTTTCTTTCTTCACAAACAAAACACGGAAACCGTGCTACATCCCAAAGAAGTTTTAAACTGAAGCAAAACTACTTTAAAAGTATTTCCCCCACATTAAAAATAGTGAAATGAAATACATGGTATTCTACAATAGGACATGATAACTAACAGAAGAGAGACATACTCAGATTTGAGACATGACATCCCGCCCGTTATTGAAGCAGAAAGCTCTAAATAATCTCACCTGATTTAACAAGCTTCCTTCTTTCGTCTTTGCAAAGCTGTTGTTAATAAAAGGAGACAGTGGCAGAGGGTCAGTGCTATCCATCTTTCGCCTGTTTGTGATACTGTCCTTGTGAGACGAGCTCGTACTCACGCCGACTGATAAACCATAGTTTGGGAAAAGCCCCTGCGCATGCGTACTTTAACTCGGGGTTTCCATGCAGTTAACTTCAGGTTAGAGGGGTTTCTCTGTAATGTTTGTATTGTTGTGGACATTATTCTGTTATACTTTAGTGTTTTATGTGATGTGATATTGTGATGAGACAGTAAAATTAGAGATGCTGCTAAACACTAAGTTAAAGATTTATTTCTTTATTTTCACGCAGATGCGACCTTCACTAAACCTCGGACTTTTTATTTTCCCCTTGAAATCCAAAACATGTCCTAATGATTTAATTAACAAAAAAGACACGATCAAATCTAAATTACTTATATTTTGCACTGTAGCATCGAGGCCGATAGCATGAAATGATGCAACTTCGTGCAAGTAGGTTTTGGTTTGTGGTTAGCCTGCTGAGGCTGCTAGCAGGGTAGCCTAACAGAGAAATCTTTTCAATGTGTGAGTGAAATCTTTTTAAATACGCCCAATAAAGTCAGATATCATAGGCTCCATTTGTTCTTCTAAATTATGGCATTACATGAAATAAGTATAGGTATAGATGTATATAAAGCAGATAAAGAGTGTTAACAAGATAAACAATAACCAGTCATTCTCATGAGGTAATGGGGCATCCCCGCACACGCTTACTGTTTCCGTTTCAGGCCAGTCCTATTGTTGAATGTAGCGAGGCAAACTGTGGGCATCTACCGTAAGCTAATATGGCACACAGCAACGAAGACCCAGAAATTAGTGTAAAATCACGAATCAACTTTTAAAATGTTTTCTTAATTGTAATGTATTAAAGCTTATTCTAGCCCCCATGCCCGATTATTATATAAGTAGCATTTACCTGTCGAAGCTGGGCGGGTTAGAGCAGATGTTTCACAAGGCATATGTCTGATTTCTAACCCCGTGAGAGTATAAAGCTACTATAAAAGGAAATCTAATCATCATTGCCTTAAATATAAATCGATGCCTGCTACCCGTCATGTAACCTAACAATGACCACAAACCCCTTGTTTAGCTTTTGTGCATGCCTCATCATAAACTTGACCACAAAACTCTAAAATTGGTTATTGCATTACAAGTGGAGAATGATGTAAGAAAGATATCATCTTACGTAAGATGATATCTTTCTTACATCTTTCTCCATTTCTGCACACCTGTATACATCCAGGACACAGACGGGCAAGGAAGATTACTGCAGGGGGCTGCAGTCCATCAGGAGGCTGCAATCTATCGGGACCAGTACCTCAGGGCACTGAGCAGTTGGAGTAACAATCTTAACAAACTAACAGGCCTAATAATAATTGTCATAAAGACAAGAAAATGCAAACAAAAATGCGTTTATAACCAAAAATGATATTGTTACTTATTAAGCAAATAACAAACTGAAATAACTACAGTCCTTATTCACACATAATAATCAAAGAATATAATATTTTGTATGGCCTCCTTTAGCCTTGACAGCAGCTCGCATTCTTGCTGCCATTATTTTATGTACTTTTCACAAGTTTCTTTGCTTCCTTCTTTTGGATGAAACGTGTTTTGCGATCCATCTTTGAGACCACTAAATTCCAAATCTGTTCAATAGCATTTAAGTCCAGACTCCATCAGTTCCAGTACTCCAGATTCCGTTGAAGTATACTTGGTGCCATTGTCTCGTTGGTGTACGACCCAATCAATTCCCATAGAGAAGGGTTTCCATGCCGCACCAAGATGTTGTGGTAGACCTGTTTATTTATGATATTGTAGATTTCACAAATTTGCTCATTTCCAGAAACAGAACTCCACACCAAAGTGAAATTTTCTGAACGGTAAATTAAAAAATAACCATTACATATGGATAACAACAATAATTATATGTTATCATTAAGCATATTGTTCTGATTAAAGAGCATCTGCATACAGGTGGATTTTGTATGTATTGAGCACCATAATCTGTTTTTCATTTTTGTACCACTGTTTGCACCACAACACCAAGGCAACAGAGGCCATTCTGATTTGTTTTATGAGGCTGTGGTTGCTAGGTGTACCAGAACCCTAGAGGAAATTGCTGCACTGTGAACTAAGTGTTTTTCTGTCTGGGGGGCTCGAAGAGGCAAGGATTTGTAGATACGCTGAATATTTATTCTAAGAGTAATCATTAAAACTGCATTTGTTTTCCTTTGTCTTTCTTTTTTTTTTTTAGCTAGAATTTGCTTCGTAAAGTCACAAGCTATGGCTCAGCTAGCTCGTGCACAAGTAGCTCCGAAAAATGTCCCAAAATGCAAATAGCCCCTTTACTTAAGTAATGCCCACATTTTAAGATTGTAAATTCTGATAGCCTGAGCTTGAATTAATAACATGAACTTGGCATAGTTATTTCTACTACAGACAACAACCGTGCCATCAAAAATGTATGCTGCAGGAATATCGTTTATGTCAAGCCTTCTTTTTGTTCCTGCGGGAACATTTCCGACAGTACTTGAAAGCAGCATGAGTTTATTGAAGCAGCCAGCAGGCGCAGTCGAGAGTCCAGATAAGTGGAGAGCAAAGAGCTTCCTGGATGGGGACGAGAGGCAGGAGAACCGAAACTCAGACACAAGCAGAGAGCAGGACAGGAGAGAGCAGGAGGGTTAAACATGATTTAGATTTTCTTTAATCCCGCAACGCACTTGGAGGAGGCGGTATCGAGGCGGCCGCAGTGGCATTAGGCGTTGACAGCAGGTTATTACAGCACCAGACTGTGTTATAACACATGTGTCTGTGCCACAGTAACAAGAGCACTGCGGCTGTGGATCTGGACTCAGACTGCTTCTACGCCCAGTGGTCCACAGGGAAGGTAGGTTCCGCACCATTTGTACCTGTACTGTCCACCCTCAAAGCTGTTCATTAAGGTGGTATCATAAAAAAGCGTATGAAAAAAGCGCTCTGTGACCTGTGCTGGTGTACAACCTTGACACAGCTGCAGATGTCTCAGATTTCACGTGTGTGTTTGTGGTTGATCGCAGTGCAGAAAGACCAGATATCAGCAGTCTGGGAATATGCATGCACAAAGGCAGCCTTTAAATCATATCTGTACTGAGCACACTTGTGATTATCTGGTGTGCATTACCATCAAGGCTTACATTTTCCCACACTGTCATTTCCTTCTGCTATGTTTCAACTTTATGTGCCATTTTATTCTATGCACCCCACACACACACACCCACACACACACAAACACAAACAAAAAACCCCAAAAGACACACACATGGTGTGATTTGAAACGTACAAATGATGCCATATAAATTCTGCTACCCCAGTGCACACTCTCTGCTGTCTCCTTCCACAGCACAGTGACAGTCTGTGTGAAAGCAGCAGCAGCTTTTTACCAGGCAGATCTGGTTTTTCCGTTTCTGCCTCCCTGGTCAACAATGATGCTTTGATCCCCACCACCTCACCCCACTTCACCCTGCCCTCAATGTCTGGAATGCCATTTAGACCTTGATCCGTGAGGGGTTTTAATCGCTGAATGGCCAGCTTCCACACGGAAAAAGAAAGCAATTGCACACAAAAGCATTCTAATTAAGGAAGTGCTGCAACAGTGGAGGTTCGAGGTTGAATGTGAGCTTTTGGATTACAATCAGAAGGTTTTTTTTTTGTGTGTGTGTTTTTGAAGGACAGTTCTGAAAGGGAAGGCTTTGGATTAAAGATTCCAGTTGTTAGGACTTTGCATTATTCAAATTTAGGTGCAAAGTAATCATTTGTTCCACCTTACACTCGCTGTGTGTGCAGCACTGAAAACATCACAATTACTTTTTATCCATGATCTGAAAGGCAGACGACAATCAAAAATGTGATTTATCAAATTTTCTAAGATATGAAGCCTTCCGCCTGTGTGATATGTTGACTGAACGTTACCCAGGTAATCTTAAGTTCTAAACTTTGAAGTTGCTTCGGGATGAATGCTTCACTTTGTTAATAATGCTGGAGTTTCCATGAAGCAAGGCTAGCAGGCACGAAAGCTGTAATTTCCCATGCGAAACCACAGGGGTGGTTATGCTCAGGCAGGACAGGACAGGCTGACGGCATTGTGGGACGATGACTGCAGCCGGCTCAGCACGTCTGCCTGAAAGTAGTGCAGGAGAGCAGACTATGACTGTGCAAAAATAGCAACGTGCACAGAGCTCAGCATGCCCAGCTATCGTGTGTGTTACCAGGGAACGATCATTGACACACTACAAAGGAGGACACCAGTGGCGGAGTTTGCTATATTGATTGAACGGCTCCAAAGTTTCCAGCCAACATTAATAGGCTGCTGAAGCAGAGAACATCATGTACAAGATCATGTGTGATTTCAGCAGCCGCTCAGGCTGCACAGTGTGTTTTTTAACGGCACAGTTTCCTGTGTGACCCTGTTCTCTGTCCAACCACTGTTGTCCACGCGATTAATCTCAAATCCCAGATTATGGGGTTATTATTTCTCATGCTTTTTGGAACAGGACTGAACCAAAAGGGATTTTTTGGAGGGTGACTTGAGTTTCCTTTAAGTTCAGACTAGAGTGAGTTTTACTCACCTTTGTCTTGCTGTCCTAAAATAAGTAGTCCATAATTATTTTTATTTTTTTTCATAAGCAAAGAAGGTTTGCATTGTGGCTTTGTAGATGGTAATATGTTGGTATTGGCTGGTTAGCCAGTTCACTAATTTGGTCCAGACTGAAATCACTGGGAATGTCACATGTCATTTAGACTAATAATAATGATGTGATAATACACACACTGAAAGGCATTTCAGAGAATAAATACATATTTCCTAGTTTTGTTTTGTTTTGTATTGGGGTTTTTTTTTTGTCGTTCTCTCTTTGTTAGCTCAGAGAATGCTCTCTCCCATTTGTGGCAGTGGGCGCTACAGAGGCTGTCACCATAAACGCAAAAACAAGGTCACCATGCTGCTCCCACAAAGCCCGATTCAGAGGTTCAGCTTCAACTAAATACTGAAGCAAAGACAACGTGAAGC